TTATTTATTTGACAGAGAGAGACACAGCGAGAGAGGGAACACAAGCAGGGGGAGTGGGAGAGGGAGAAGCAGGCTTCCCGCGGAGCAGGGAGGCCTGTGCGGGGCTCGATCCCAGGACCCTGAGATCCTGACCTGAGCCGAAGGCAGACGCTTAACGACTGAGCCACCCAGGCGCCCCAAAACTTGGATATTTAAAGAGAGCTCTCTACCTTTTAAACTTGATCTTCTGATGACATGATATAAGTATATCTCTATGCATATGCGTATATACATAGAAAGTCATTCTGCTTCCAAGAAAGTTAGACCCCAAGGGTTCATAAATTTCCGGTCTCCTATCCAATTACTCCTTTGCTCAGGTGGTGTCCGCCACAGGGCCAAGAGACTTCTAGGAAAGGGAGACAGAGCAAGTAAGTCTACAGCTCTTCCCTCAGGTAAATTATGATTCAATTTGAAATGTTTTGCAACTTCTGGTGAGTCTATAACTATTTCAAAATAAGTTTAAAGAAGGGTGCCTGGGTGGCTCAGTTGGTTAAGCATTTGCCTCCGGCTCAGGTCAGGATCCCAGGGTCCCTGCTCAGTGGGGGCGTCTGTTTCTCCCTATGCCCCTCCCCCTGCTCATACTCTCTCTCTCAAATAAATAAATAAAAAATCTTAAAAAAAAAGAAAAGTTAAAAGAAGGTAAGTGAGAAGGATAAACATAAGGAGCCAGGGGATTATGTAGATTGAACGCACCGATTGCAAGTCTGCCACCATCTCTAGATCTGTGACCCGGAGGTAAATGTAGATGCTGGTCAGTGGGGGGTAACGGGCTTACAAGTAGAGGGTAGAGTGCGTGCAGAGACACCGGAAGTGAAAAACGCGGTTCTACCTTTCCACCACCAGACCAAGGAAGCAACACTTGTATTTTCCTTGAACACTTTTTGGGGTTAGGTTGGGGGAAGGGATGTTGCTAGCGTTGGTTGTGTGGGGTTATTTTTTGTTTTGTTGTTGTTGTCGTCATTGTTGTTGACTTTTCAATGGCTTGGTGTAGATGTCTGTCCCTGGCGTTGCAGCTGAATTCCAGTGTGGACACTCGAGTTCCTTTCCTCACCACTGACTTGCCCAATGCCCAGGGCTGAGTTGGGTCAAACAAGTGCAACAACTCTGAGGGATCAAGTGTGCAGCCAACGGAGGATTCTTTCTTAAGTTCATGTCATGAATTCGTGCACCAGCCTCTGCTTGGGCCACCAGCCACTGATGAGTAAAATGACCTCAGCGACCAGATGCCAAGCAGAAGGCCTTGCCCTCGAGACAGTGTTGCTTCACTGGTTCTGCCTGCCCCGGATGCTGAAGCTAGACCAAACCTTTTTGGGCGAGATTCTCGACCAGCCAAAACTTTGCAAAAGCCAACATTTCTGGTCAGGGAACCTTGGCTACTTCCACGAGCCTTTTGGAAGCACAAAAGCTGGTCCCCCACAGCGAGTGGTTGCCCGGCACACAGCTCTGAATGGAGTGCTTGGCAAATCCCTTTCGCTTCACCCTGTAACGGGAGCTCAGGCTCCCTCTCTGGCAAGAACACACTGGAAAATTCCCCGGACGTAGAGAGCTGGCTCTATTTCCTAGCAATTCTACGAAGTTCTCTCTCTGTGATGGTAAAAATGGAGCAGCCTACACATCTTCAGATCACTGGGATCTAAAACAAAGAGTCCCCAGGACATTCTGACAAGAAACAGGCAGGGCCCTACTTTTCAGCCTGGAGCTTTCAGAATTTAGAATCAATCTGGCCTCCAAGGTTCGGTCACAGTGACTGCTTCAACTCGGGGCCTGCTGGGACGTTAGTGGGTCCCCGAATATTTTGAATTTCTTGGCAAAGCTGTCCCAGACCGTGTAACCTTCGTCATCTGAAAGCAAAGACAAATAGCTACGAGATTTACAGAGAAATAAAGCTGGGGGGCGGGTGAGGGGAATCAAGCAGCCCTGGGAGCATAGCTTCAAGTTCGACAGACTCGGAATCGATTCTGCCGATGTGTGACCTTAGGGGCAAATTCTGTATTTTCTTTAAATCCTAGTTCTTCATCTGAAAAGCAATAGAAAACGCAGTGCCTACGTGATAAGGTCAACACGAGGATGGCTAAGTAAACACGCAAAGTGCCCAGGAGGCACTCCCAGATTCTTAGCCTTCTCTCTTTCCTCCTGCTCTCCACCCCCTTCTCTGGTCTCCAGAGCTATGATTTTCAAACTTTTAACTGCTGGAACTTTATTTTTTTTTTAAATGTTTAAAAACATTTTATTCATTTGTCAGAGAGAGCGCACACAAGCAGGACGGGTGGCAGGCAGAGAGAAACAGGCTCGAGACCGACGCAGGACTTGACCCCAGGACTCTGCAACATGGCCCGAGCCGAAGGCAGACGCTTAACCGACTGAGCTACCCAGGCGTCCCTCACTGCTGGAACTTTAAAAAAAAATTTCAAATGAATGTGTAGGTAGAAGCCCAACATAGAAAACAGATAAACGCCCCAAGAGGCCGCCAAGGAAGGCCTTGCTTTGTCCCCTCTTCTCCTCCGTGGAAGCTTCCTGCAGTTTCGGTGCCATCGGGCTGGTCTTTCTCGTTTGCTGGGAGACCCTGGGGGAATAGGGGCACTGTTGATTGCTGCCCTTTGTGCTACTTCCCACCTTCCACTGCTTCCACTCCTCCCAGATCCGGGCAACTGGAATCTTCCCGTGGAGGGCTCCGGTGTGTCTTAGGTTTAAATGAAAGCACTTTGGGTCAGAGTTCTTTCTATGCTGGTGAACGCACTTTTAGGAGGGACAGTGCGACTATCACCTGAGAGCTCTTGCTGAGCCCGGGGCGTGATTGTTCTCATGCAGGAGTTTGGTGAGAGCTGTGTGAGTTCTTGTTTTGTGCTCATGTGTCAGAAATGGGGGAGGTGCTTGGTGCCCACCATACTTACTCGGGTTGGTGTGCTTACCAGATTTTTCTTGACACATGAGAAGGACGGATGGAATTAGTCGTGTCAGTGCAAGAAGGGGGTCAGAGGGTAAATCACAAGACGCTTCGTTGTGAACCAAGCTCCAGTGTGACCCGGGCTGTTGTAGGGCCCGGGTCTGCTGTACGTGCCTCTACCTCTGGAGGTAGGCTCTGCACGAGGCTGTTCCTATAGGGACTGCCTCAGAGCATGCCCAGCTGGGTGGGGAAGCCCCAGAGCCATGAGGGCTCTGGCAGGTGCGGCCCACACCCCACCCCCACAGCTTGCCCTACTTCTGCCTCCTTCTCGGGTTGCCCACCATTTCCTTTCCCGCAGGATCATCTATCTGGAGGCTTGTGAGAAGGGGCACCGTCCTCCCTCCGAGGGAGGAGAAATATTTGAGGGCTGGGAAAAGGGCTTCTTTTCCTCTCTGTGTCTCTGATTATAGATTGCTGGGTCTGGAGGACAAGGATAACCTGGAGTCCTGCCCTGAGCCGGGAGTTGGAATGTACAGTAGTGCTTTCAAGACCTTAGTCATCAGTAAACAAAGCTATTATGCTCTGTGTCTCATGTGCTCTCTCTTCTGCTGGGTCGCCTGTGGTTGCCATGGATATGGCTTTGTCTTTGGAGGCCTATAACCAAGGAGGATTTAAGTAAATCCTCGTGGGTCAATATTTCCATACCCCACCCCACCTCACTGCACAACCCCCCCACCCCCCAAGAAAATAGAGAGAGAGAGAAGGAAAAAGAAAATAAGGCCACCCTTAAACAACTCCAAGAAATCCTAAACAGTTCTGCAGTCATCACCAAAACAACAACAGACACTCCAGGCTTTAATTGCGGGACTTAAAGGGCACGCATTTTTAAACAGTACTCAGAATTAGAAAGATGAGGTGCATTAATGGTTCTGATTGCAGCAAGTGCAAATGATGGTATTTCCCGGTTGAGTGTTTTGGACAATATAAAGTTACATTTTGTTTTCTTGCCAGTGCTTAGTTTTTAGAATGCTTCTTGATCTGCTGTTTCGAAGATGTGTCATATTCCCGCATATAAACGAACCTGTGTTTCAAGCAAACAGTAGTTGTTTCTGACACGGAGGATTCGGTGACACTTGGGAATGACTACGGAAGATGGGTAGATTGATTGAAGAAGGCTAAAAAAGGAAAGAAGATTGGGTCCTGGGCAGGAATTGAAGGGCTCCAGTGTCTTTGTTTGAAAACACATGCACACTATCCCGGGATTGCTCATAAGTCACTCCAGAGAAAGGTGCTGTCACCTGGTAAAGCAGAGGTCAGAGGCTGAGAGCTGGGATGCGGCCACAGCCCCTCAGTGCTTCGGTTCTTCACTCAAGGGCTGCATCCTTTTTTTTTTTTTTAAAGATTTTATTTATTTATTTGACAGACAGAGAGAGAGGGAACACAAGCAGGGGGAGCGGGAGAGGGAGAAGCAGGCTTCCCGCCGAGCGGGGAGCCCGATGCGGGGCTCGATCCCAGGACCCTGGGATCATGACCTGAGCCGAAGGCAGACGTTTAACGACTGAGCCACCCAGGCGCCCCAAGGGCTGCATCCTTTTTAATGGGATGCCCTCCGTGTATGTCTCTTCGTGTGTGTTTCCAGGGCCCACACTGCCTCGGCCAGAGAGGCAGGCTGTGGACGCAGTGTGGAAGGGGCTGCGTCCATAGCAGTGTGCAGGCTGCCATCACCAAGCTGCCCCCTTTCCTCACGGTAACAACCTGGGGTTTGGTCGTCCATCCCGCTGGCTTCCCTGGTCACTGTCATTGGCAGCAAGACACGTCCAATGAAGAAGTTGAGTCTGAGCTGCCGTTATCCAGTGACCTCTTCCACTGAAGGGGGAAAAAGTGATGTTCATTTCCTTTCTGTGGGCTTGAGTTTTCACGTGTTTGTACTTAAACTCTGGATTAATCCACAGCCTCTCCTTGCTTGCCTTCCGCAGCTCGCCCCAATCTCTGCCCACTGTGTTACCTGGCAACCTCTGGACCTTCCCGAGTGGAGGATTATGACTCTCCTGCTTTGACTCCAGGTGACCCGGTGCAAAGCCCCCTGTGATTGTCAGGAACAGAGACGGTGATAACGCTGCTGGCTATTGCCCCCAGGGTCAGTGGTGGCCTGCCTGGACAAAGAAGGGAAGCTCACGCTTGAGCTGCCTCTGGGGGGCTCTAGGAGAAATGGCCTGCCTCCTAGACCAGGTGTGAGTTGGCTTCCACCTGGCTCCCATCCTGCCTCCAACTGCCTGGGAGGCTGAGGCAGTGGTCTAGAGTGGCGGGCCAGCAAACAGAAGCCCAGCTTCTGGGTTTGATGAGGTCTATGGGAGGTGTGTCTGGGAGACCCAAGACAACTTTGGGATGTCCCCAGAAAAACAGCTACTGGGTTGGCTGAGCTGCCCTGTCAGACTCTCGATGAAATTCTGGTCCTCTAGGCTTCCATAACAGTTCTTCTGGGGTCACCGCCAAATGGGATAGATTTCATGGAAAAGCTGAGGGGTATGCTGATCCTTCCTTGGCGTCAGGCTGAGAGAGGCAATTTTGATCTGGGTTAAAAGGAGTTTTCTGATTTTCCAAGTTGGTAGGATGGAATGGGGGGATGTCTGGGTGGTTTGGATTTGAGGGTGACTTAAAAGGACCCAGGAAGGTTATGAACCTTTAAATAACATCCTATCTGTACCATTACAAAAAAATCACAAGAAAGAAAAGGCGAAAGCAGCCAACGAACGTGGTGTAGAGGGAAAGCCACCATAGCTCGGATTTTAAATGAACACAAACAAAAGATGGAAGGAGGGGCATGTAATGAAGGGTGTCACAAAAGAATAGCAGGAATCTGTATATTAGTGTCAGGAAAACTGAAGTCCAGAATATGCTAAGACTTGTGAAATAGCAGCTGACATGAGAATAATGCTCTGTAGTTTGCAAAGCATTTTCATGTAAATGATCACATGGATCCTCATAATAATCCTGCGGGGTGGTAGGGGGTGGTGGTGGGGGGGAGGAGTTATTATCCTCAGAGTGTGTGGGGACTTCTCAGAGGCAAAGCTGGGATTTGAGCCCAGATCATCTTGGGCCAAATGCTGGGTCTTTCCACCACACCACATCACTTTCTGTTACATGCTCTGAAGTATATTTAGAGAAAGATGGGGCGGGGCCATGATTCAGGAGACTGTGTACTGCCGGCAGGTGATAGAAAGCAAAACTAGTTGCTTCTATAGTTTTTTCAATTCATCACGAAGCAACACAATCTTCGGAGGATAGAATAAATTTCTTAAGGTGGATGAGACCTTCAAGGAGAGTTGATTTCTCCAACCCCAGGCCTGGTCATTGTGGATGGCTGTTCCAAAGGGACCTGAGTCTCTCTTGTATGGTGCTTACTCCAGAAATTACTCGCTCGGTATCTGTGTTCCCTACTAGGCTTAGTGTCTTGAAGGCGGGTACTATGGCCATCCTGTCCATCATGGTATCCCCTTTGGCTGCCCAGGCAATGAATAAATCACTAACCACAGACCCACCATGGGAGGTATGCCACAGAGAGAGGCAGAAGTCCTCATGATTTACCAAAAAAGAGAAAAGGTAGATTCTAGAGTCTACTTGCCAATGAGCTGACATTAGTCTCTAAAGTATTTATGTTCATTTCAATGATAAAACTGAGACCCAAATATATAAATTGAGTCACATGAGCTCATCTCAGTCATCCCAGAGGCCTGATCAAAACCTCTATTTTGGGTCAGTCAAGGCTGAGATTAGGCCTTCGGGGCTGCAATGTCATAAACGCAGGAAAGAAAGGGTTTCAAAGCAAGAATCTTTTGTTTTAGACTCAAGGCTCTGCTTTTAGAATAAGTTGTTCTATTAAGTATTCAGGCTTAGTAGAAGAAGCTTTACTTTCTGCTTGGCTAGAAGGTACATATTTTAGAGAAGGTGGGAGAAGATGCATTTTTTAAAAGATTTTATTTATTTATTTGAGAGAGAGCATGAGAGAGCACAAGTGGGGTGAAGGGCAGAGGGAGAAGCAGACTCCCTGCTGAGCAGGGAGCCTGATGTGGGACTCGATTCCGGGACTTTGGGATCATGACCTGAGCAGAAAGCAGAAGCTCAACTGACTGAGCTCAACTGACTGAGCCACCCAGGACACGTTTAACACCAAAGCTAAGCGAGACTGTCAGTTATCAGTACTTACCATTGTGACCACAGGCACCGCTCACACGAGTGTGAACACAGGCAGAATGCTCTCTAGAAGAGATTGGGCTCAGCGGA